GCCATATTGCTTTCCAGAGTGGTTGGACCATTTTGCAATCCTATCAACAGTGTAGGAGGGTTCAGTGGCTGAGTTTTGAAAAGTAGATCTCTAGGACTTTATTCTGACATGCCTCAGGGTGGATGTGAACGACCAACTTTTTGGTTAGCAGCTGAGTGCTTAACCATTTGCACGACCCAGTGACTCCTATTTTGTTTTACATTCGGCTTATTTTTTCTCTCCATTCTCCCAGCTCCCCACTCCACCAGCCTCCCTGTGATCATCCATTGTTAGGTGCCACTTAGTCGGTTCCAACTCACTGTGACCCTATGTACCACCGAGTGAAATCCTGCCTGGCCTGCACCCTGATGACGTCAGTACGTCAGAGCCCCTCACTGCGGCCACTGTGTCAGTCCATCTCGCTGGAAGTTTTCCTCTTTTCAGTGACCCTCTACTTTGTTGTTGTTGTTAGGTACCATCGAGTGGGTACCGACTCATAGCGACCCTCTGCACAACAGAACAAAACACTGCCTGGTCCTGTGCCAACCTCACAATCGGTGCTGCTGCTACTGTGCCAATCCATCTCGTTGGGGGGGAGGGGGCCTGGGGTCTTCCTCTTTTTTGCAGACCTTCCACTTTAGTAAGCATGATGTCCTTCTCCAGACTTTGGTCCCTCCTGATAATATGGAAGTGGCCTGCCACATCTTTTTCCCTTGGAGTTGGTGGTGAGTTTGAACTATTGACCTTTTGGTTGGTAGCTGAGTGCTTAACTACTGCACCATCAGAGCTCCTTAGCCTGTAATATTGACATCAATAAAATATTTGCGTCCCTCATCTGATTATTCAGTTATGCTTGTGCCACACCATAATAGTTCATAATAGTTAAGTAGTTAAATAAATACTATTTTATTGAAGCCTGGATTATGGTTACAAGTGTATCTCTCAAGAGAGAAGGATGTTGTCTGATGTATTTGTAACATATACCATATGTACCACAAACATTTACCGGAACAATGATTGGAGTCTCAATTTACACAAAAAGATTTCATTTTAAAACAGAGAAAGCATGGCATGTCCTCCAGTTCACTGAGTCATGCTCATCACTGAGTTCTCAGGTATAATTGGCTCAGGCCCTTGGAAACCCGGGCAGAGAGGTAGGGCATATGGCTTTAAATGCATACCAGCTTCTAGCCCACATGCTGCTTCATAAACCGTCTGTGCGGACACTTACTGAAAGCTTTGACAGTTCAACTCCAACCACAGGCACTAGGGGAGAAAGGCTGATGATGTTTCTGAGTGTTGCATTGTTGTTAGTGAAGTCCCTCCCACAAGTCGATTCCAACTCATAGCGACCCTGTACAGGGTTTCTGAGGAGCGGCTGTTGAATTTGAGCCACCAAATGGCTTACTTAATAAGACTCTTGAGAGCTGTGGCCAGTGCTTACCCTACAGCACCAATGAAGCCCACTTCTACCCTGAAACACGTGAGGTCACCATGAGTTGGAACTGACGTGATGGCAACAGGCTGTTTTTTGGTTTCTGGGTGGACTAATTAGAAAAAGTGAGCCTTCTGTGTACACACAGGCCCAAGGACAATTCTAGCCAATCAGAAGTGAGGGGAAGTTGCTGGCGGGCTTTGGAAGAACAGTCTTGGGACCTTGGGGGATGCAGGCTAGGAGGAGACCATAGCACAGCAAGGTGACTAGAACTCGGAGCCACTGATGACATGAGTCCTCTGTGATCTTGTTGTTCGGTACACACGGACATGGGACTCCTGTTACTTACAGCCCAAAGCCTTCTGATACAACAGAGCGCCCTGGCATGTGTGACACTGTGATCCTCAAGCCCAGGGGAGCCACAGGTGGGGAGGAGAGAGCTAAAGGCTGTTGTCAGTTCTTTAGGAGTGGGGATAAGTCGGCCTCAATTCCCAACCACTCTGGCAGGAAAGCCGCCTCGGGTTTGAAGACTTTGAGGAAGGGAGAGTTTGGGAGGGTGTAATTGGCCAGGTAGATGGTTTGTCCACCCGCAAGATAGGCGGCCCAGATCCCGAATGTCCCAATGGTCATGATGGTGTGGTTACACTGTGTGAGCAGCGCAAAGTCCTTGGCGGGGGACCCTTCTAGCCCATTGCCAGCAAATACCACATCGCCCAGGGAGGCATTGATATTCTCCCGACACCACTGCATACCATTGCTGGTGACCACAAAGACAGGCGAGTTATAGCGTGCCCGGAACCAATCCAGGGCCTGTTGTAGGTATCGCCGGTCAGCCACTACACCCTTCCATACTTTCGGCATGACATGAACATAGTCCCCCCGGCGGACATGGACCCCCACGTAAGTACTCGGCTGCGTCCCATTCACCCGAAGGCCCCACAGAAATTTCTGGGCCTCCTCCCGCACATGGTCATGCAGTGTGAATTCCTGGAGGATTTCCTTGTGGAGGTGATGGTAGAAGGTCCAGGAACAAGGGTAGCCGGTGAGGCGGACATATTCTCCCTGGATGTGGCGATACTTCTCCTCCATCCAGTCGTTTAGGTGGTAGTTCTTCCAGTGGATCTTGTTGGCCACATTGTCATGCAGGACAGGGAGGGTGATCTTGAAGATGGGAGCTAGTGTGTTATGCATCTGGGCTGAAATGTAGGCAGGCCGTCCATTCATCTTGGCCAGGGCGTACAGGGTGGCGTATTCGCCCATCTGGTTCCCCAGACGACCTTGCACGTTGACTGTCCATATACCCTTGGGCTGGAAGCCACTGAGTGTCTCTGTGGAGTAACTCTGGTCTTGTTCCTCTAACTCCCACGCTGGTTGGATCTTCGTTAGCCGCCGCTGAAGGTGAAATACGGTGGAAGCCAGGAAGACAAAGAGGATGAAGTGGACCATGGGAAAGGAGAAAGGCATCTGAGTGGTGGTCAGCATGGCTGTTGGGGAGGAAGAGAAGGAAATGTTAGCTTGCAAGATGGAGGTTGTTGTCTGAGGCCTTAAGTGATGCATGAACGTGGCTGCGTGATTGTGTGTGCAGACACTGTGTGGTGTACTTGAGTGTGGGTTTGCTCTGTGTGGGAATGTTTGGTGAAATGAATTCCTTTAGATGGTCTTCTGCCTTGTTCTTGTGAAGTGCCATTGAGTCGGTTCTGACTCATAGCAACTCTCAAGAGTTTCCAAGGAGCAGCTGGTGAATTTGAACTGCTAACCTTGTGGTTTCTGGTCCTGCGCTGAACCTGCAGGGCCACACCAAGAGTCCTGATCTTTTGCATTAGTTCTTTGGAAAAACAGCTGGAGATATTTGCTCCCTAACCCCTGAGTTTCCTCTGCCCTAGTTTTCTACCCTAGGGGGTTTGTTACTTTGGTCCAGGTTGACATTTGATCTAAGCAACTTGATGACTTGATACTTTGGTCTGGCCCTTAGTTGCCAAGCGCTTTTGTCCTATGATTGGTCTATTGGACACATTTTACAGGGATAGCTCAAGATACTTAGACAAATGGCATTACTGTGGTATACTAAGAGGGGATTGGAGCATTCAAGACTGGCACATGTGTGTGTGTGTGTGTGCATGCGTGCGAAATCAGGCCTTGAAACTGACAAGGAGTTTAAATATGCAGCCAACCACATAGAGAGTTCAGAAAAGGAAGAAAGAAGAAGGAAAGGAAAGAAGGTAGAGACATGAGGAGAGAGAAGCTGAGAGAGAAGAGGCATAGGACCTCCTAAAAGAGTTGTTGTTAAGTGCCGTGGAGCTGGTTCCAACTCATAGCAACCCTGTATAGGGTTTCCCAGGAGCAACTGGTGAGTTTGAACCATCGGCCTTATGGTTGTAACACATTTCAAATGCTGTTAATTCTGAAGACAAAGCTCAAGGTAAAAGGTTTGGAAGAGGCCCTGCAGCAGAATCAGTGGTAACAGCAGAAACCTGCCGCTAGGTATACAGGTTATGAGCAGAACAAAGCTGCTACGCTTGCTGTGAGCCGGGTCAGTTAGCAGTGGAAAGGTAGACGGCAGGGAGCCCTAAGGCAGTGAGACTTGTCTTTGGGGGGGCGCGGGGGCTGAGATAGGCCTGTATGGCTGTGAAGAGCAGAGTCTGTTAGCTTGTGTGGCTGAGATGCACTACGATAGCTGTCTACATTGATAAGGGTCTCCTCTTCGGGGGAGCCTTCCAGACTTGGCCTTCCTGATCCTGATCCTGTCCATCCTGAGCCCTGTTACTTCCTTAATAAACCACATAACTGGAGGTATGGTCTGTGAGTTCTGTGTGGCCATTGTAACAAATTATTGAATCCAAAAGAGAAGTTGTTGTTAAATGCCGTCGAATCGGTTCTGACCCATAGCGGCCCTCTAGAGGGTTTCCAAGGAGCAACTGGTGAGCTTGAACCACCAACCTTGCAGTTCAAACTGACTTTGCAGTCTAGTGCCACACCAGGACTCCAAAAGAGAAGTAGAAAGTGCCAAAAGGTTTGGCGATCCCAGCTAGAATGGGAGAAAAATATAGAACAAATCTCAAATTCCAATATATATATATATATAATAATAATACAAACCTAATGCATTGGTAGACACTAGAGGAACCCCTATAAATTAGAAGCTCCAACAACTTCCATTGTTCACCTATCACCCAAAAGACAGAGCAGCTCATAAAATACACAATTTGCCTGGGTAAATCTAAGACTTGTCCCCAGTTGGGATATGTTCCATTTGTTTCAGTCTTTTAAAAGCCTGATGGAAAAGATCAGCCTCTGAACCGGCTGATCTTCACGCAATGCTTTGGGTACCCATTGAGCCAAAGCCTTGCTCAGTCCAAGATGTTCACATCAAATTGAAAATGTCGAACCATATGAGATCCCAACTTCAGTAGCTATCACAGGAAATTTTATAGTCTTCCACTAGTATTTGGACTTCAATGCGGTTTCTTTTCTTTTTAAAAATTTTTATTTATTGTAGTAATACATATATGAAGTCCTGGTGTGGTGCTGTGGGTTAATGCGCTTGACTGCAAAGCTGGTTTGAACCACAAGGTCAGTGGTTCAAGCTCACCAGCCGCTCCTCAGAAACCCTATACAGGGTCGCTATGGGTCGGAACTGACTTGGCACTCAACAACAACACTATATACATACAACAAAACATTTGCCATTTCTATGATTTTTACATGTATAATATATCCACAGGAACTATGCCAACGACATTCCCCTTGTTACACAACGAATACTAACAACTATTTCCAAATTTTTTTTTCCCTCCGGCTCCCCCTTTCCATTTGTGGGAAGTTCCCAATCATTTGTCCTAATGAGAAAATAAATATACATTGTTTCCTTGCAAGGATATGGGGAGAGGGGGCAATAGCCTAAAGAAAGCTATTTCCTTTTTTTCTTTTCTTCCTAATCATCCAAGTTAGCATGTGTCTACACTTCAGGTACTGAATAATTCTCCCTTCATTTCCACCTCTGGTAAGCATCATCTATTGTTTATTATAGCATGAAAATCTTTTCTTGACTCTTTACAGTAGGGGTCTCATAAAATATCTGCCCCTTTGTGACCGACTGATTTCACTCAGCATAATGCCCTTCAGGGTCCTCCATGTTAAGTGGTATTTTGCAGCTGCATCATTGTTCTTCAGTGTTGTATAATACTCCATTGTGTGGATATAACAAAATCTGTTCAACCATCCATCCCTCTGCTCACGGGCATCTGGGCTGTCTCCACCTTTTTTGCTATTGTGAATAGTGTTGCAGTGGACATTGGTGTGTATAGATCTATACATGTCATGGCTCTTATTTCTTGAGGATATTTACCAAGGAGAGAGATTGCTGGGTCATACGGCATTTCTATTTCCAACCTTCTGAGAAAGTGCCATACCATTTTCCAGTGGTTGCACCATTTTATAATTCCACCAGAAGTGTAGGAAAGTACCAGGTTTTCCATATCGAAGCCAGCATTTGTTTTCTGGGTTTTTGTTTTGTTTTTTTAACTTTGCTAGTTCTGCTGGTGTAAGATGATATGTCATTGTTGTTTTTTGATTTCCATCTCCAATGGCTAGTGATCAGGAACTTTTTTTGTTTGTTTGTTGGCTGCCTGAATGTCGTCTTTGGTGGTCTGTTTCATGCCCCCTGCCCATTTTTAAATTGGGTTATTTGTTTTATTCTTGTTGAGGTGCTGACATGTTCTATTACTTTTAGAGAGTAGTCCCTTGTCTGATATGCCATTACAAAAAAAAATTCCCCAGTCTCTGGGTTCTCTTTTTATTCTTTCGGTGAAATCTTTTGATGCACCTAAGTGTCGAATTTTTTAGGAGGTCCCAGAAATCTATTTTGTCTTCTGCTGTTTGTGTGTTTCCAGTTATGTTTGATAGTGCATTTATAACATATATCAGAGACCCTAATATTGTCCCTATGATTACATTGATGATCTTTATAGTTCTAGTGTTATGCCCAGAGTTCGGGGTCACCAATGACCACCCAGGAGCCGTCACTGATGTAAATACATAAGGGTTGTTTATTCAAGCTTGAGCCAGGTCTCTAACCACATCCGACGCAGCGGATTAGGGAAAGAGCCCTGAGCTCCCTGTTAGTGGGGTTTTTATAGATTTTTACAAACAGATTCGGGGGTCTTCTACCTAACTTCTCTAGAATTGGTTTACACTTGATAAGGTATGGGATTACACAATTCGATTGGCCACTACCTATAGCTAGAATAGCTTCATTAGGATAAGGAGGACGTTTGTTATGCTAGGGCAGTTTAATTAGGGTAAGGAAGACATACATTATCTAGCCTTGGGTTTGACAGGGGAGTTTATCTCTACTTTTATGGCTCGTAGGGGAAGGGGGTCATCTCCGTCTGGTACTAACTGACCAGGCACATTCCTGAAACAGGGAGACGTGCTTTAGCCTAGGTAGAAAATGGAGTTTTCTTCTTAGGGTCCCACACTAGGTTTTACATTTAGGTCCTTAATTCATGTTGAGTTTGTTTTTGCATACGGTGTGGGATATAAGCCTTGTTTCATTTTTCTGCAAATAGATCGACAGTTTTACCAGCACTATCTTCTCCCCATTGAATGTGTTTGGTCCGTTGTCAAAGATCTCCTGAGCATAGGTGAATGGATCCACTTCGGGGTTCTCCATTTTGTCCCACTGACCTATGTGTCTTGCATTGTACCAGTACCAGGCTATTTTGATTGCTGTGACTGTGTACTAGGTTTTGAGACTGGGAAGTGAAAGGCCTCCTACTTAGTTCTTTTTTAGTAATACTTTGCTTTTCTGGTGTTTCTTTCCTTTCCATATAGAGTTGGTGATTAATTTTGTCCCCTCTCTTTATAGAACAATGCTGGAATATGTATTGTGATTAAATTCTCTATGGATTGCTTTGGTAGTGTTGACATTTTCATAATGTTAAGGCTTCCTATCCATGAGCATGGTGTGTCTCTTTTGTTTTCTTGTAGTTGCATTTCACAAGTTATTTGTCTCTAGGTCTTTTGTTTCTCTGGTTAGGTTTATTCCTACGGATTGCATTTTCTGGGTGGCTACTGGAAATGCTATGTTTTCCTGGTTTCCTTTTCAGAGCTCTCATTAGGCGTGTAAAGGAAGCCACTGATTTTTGTCTGTTGATCTTGTACCCTCAGCACGCTGGCTTCATTCATTGAGGTTGACAGATTACCCTCTCTTGGCTCATCTTGTAGCTCTCCCTGACTTTCCTTAAAAACACTTGATTCATCTGAAAACTGTTGTTTCATGTGGGCCAGTATTCCTGTAAATTTGTTCCAAAGCTTCAATGTTTCGGGAAGATGGTCCACTTTGAGTTTTGGCAAAATTTTGCTATTAGCCCTGACCTCAAAGTAATTTTTTCCCATAGCATAAAAAATATCCTTTTTGAAGGCGCTCTAACCAGACTAAAAGGAGCTCTGGTAGCGTAGTGGTTACGAATCGG